TTTTTGCTATGGGCCTAATAAGATTACAAAATGAATGTACTATGGGTCTATAATGGACCTACTATCGATAAATTATCTATAATACGTTTCATATCTACTACCGCTGTATTCCGAATCAATTTTTTTATTTTTTATTTTTGGTAAACATGTTAAGATATTCCGAATCAATTCCATACCGAAGAAATAAGATTTCGTGAGTCATGTCAAATGAAGATTTTTTTTTTTTAAGAAAGATATGGTCATTGTTTTTCCCATGTGAGTCAGGAACCGTCAACAGGAAGTGGTTTCATGAACAATTTCCTATTGACTTTAATATATGGTCGAATCGCAAGGAAATGACGATTGATGGAGGAGGAAGTTAAATTGACATGAGAGATATAAAAGAAGCTCGACAGAAGGAAGAGACTTCTGCTTTTTAACCTTACTATACCAAAAAATAGCTAGAGAAAAAACTAATGTAAAATATATCTCAAGAGATCCCACTGTATTTTCATTTCATTTTATTTATACACAATCCATTTTGTAAATTTTATATTCTCTAAGTGCTTGGACTTGTTAGCGAGAATCTTCACCAAAATTTCCCAAATTCCTAATTACAAAATTCGAGTGTGGATTTTGCATCCACATTTGTCAGAATAGCCGCTAGAAAGTGAAAAAAAAAATTCCCTTGGGTCCGAACCTATTTTAGAAGGGTCGCGGTTCTTATTACTTTGAAAATACTGACACTATGCACCAATTGAAATATTAACTTTAAAAAGAAAAAACTTTCAACACCAAATCAGAACCAAATCAATAATTTCACAATAACACCAAATCTAGCTAATGTTATGTAAATTCGTCCCGTCGGTTTGGATAACTGAATCATGGTAATTAAGTTTATTATGTTGTTGAAAAAAAAGTCTAGATTTTACAAACAACTGAACTACAGTATATGATTACACAAGTAAGAGAAGAAATTTGATCGATGTTGGAACTTTTTTTTGACAAAATGGTTTATGACCATTTTCCGGTGTGGTTTCCGATGAAGACGTTCATCGGAATGATCGAATTTAAGGCACGATTAAATCGTCGCCGTAAACACTAATCGTGCCTTAAATCCAGTCATTTCGATGAACGTCTCCATCAGAAATCACAGCGGAAAATGGTTGTAAACCATTTTGTCAAAAAAAAGTTCCAACATCGAT